GTGGCTCAGTGGTAGAGTGCTTGCCTTGCATGCATGAGGCCCTGGGTTCGATTCCTCAGCACCACATAAGCAGAAAAAGCCAGAAGTGGGGCTGACATTCAGATGGTAGAGTGCTAGCCTTGAGCTGAAGAGCTGAGGGACAGTGCCCAGGCCCAGAATTCAGGCCCCACAACTGACAAAAAAGAAAAGAAAAGAAAAGAAAAAAAGAAATTGATCCATGGTGAAACAGTATGTGCAAAGGTCCTGGGGCCAGATACAGAAGGGTGGTATATTCAGGTTGCCTCCCCTGTCTCCCTAGAATGAAGGTTCTTGCTTGCTTGTCTCATCTGATTATGCTGCGACCTACAGACCCCATACCCAGGTGACCTCACTGAGCCCCGGCCGCCTGGCCGTTCTTTACCTTGTCTGAGGTCTGCTGCAGGATAGGCACTGTCTGCAAGCGGTCTAGGCCGCGGTGGGCATATTCGCTGGCCGAGGTGACTACGAGGGAGGGGACGGGAGGAAGCAGAGATAAGAGTGGTCACCGTCTCAATCACCCCGGCCGGACAGCCAGGAGAGAGCTCCCCCCCACGGGCTTGTGTGGGCCACTCACTCTGGGGCTCCAGCTTGGACAGGATGGGTTGGGCCCCGCTGACCGCAGCCTCCGTGAACGTCCTGATGCCTTTCTCCGCCATGTCGCACACGGCCCTGACGTTGGGGTGGCTCTCCTTGGTGGAGGTGTAGGCGGCGGACACCATGTTGCAGGTGGAGCTGATGAGCGGCATGGCTGCCACGCGGTCCACCACGCCAGGCTGAGGGGGGGGGAGGGATGGGCGGGGCAAGAGGGATGGGCGGGGCAAGAGGGATGGGCGGGGCAAGAGGGAGGGGCGGGGCAAGAGGGAGGGGCGGGGCAAGAGGGAGGGGCGGGGCAAGAGCAGGGCAGGTCAGCCAGGCCTGGAGCATAGAGACAGAGACTAGGCCCAAACTTCAGGATGCTGTGTGCTTCCTGGGGCATGCTACTGTGAGCAGGGACTTAACCTGGATCTGTGCAAGGCAGGGGTGAGACTCAGGAGACACCCCACAACACACACCCTTCTCATAGTGCTCTGGGCCCAACATGAGGGGCACCTGCAGATGCTAGCTCACCAGCCAAATCTCACCCACCTTCTGCTTGTTTTTGTTGTTGCTATTTGTTTCTATTCGTTGCTAATAGTTTCATTGAGACACAATTCATACACTATCATGTCTGGTATCTATCTATCTATTTTTGTTGGTCTTGGGTCTCGAACTCAGAGCCTGGGCTCTGTCCCTGAGCTCTTTTGCTCCAGGCTACAGCTCTACCACTTGACGCCACAGCTCCACTTCTGGCTTTTGGGTAGGCCCACAAACTTTCCAGCCTGGACTGGCTTCAGATCATGAGCCTCAGCTCTCAGGCCTCTGAGTCGCTGGGGTTACAGGAGTGAGCCACTACACCAGGCTCTACTGTCCATTCTATTCTCTAGTCACACCTGGCCAGTTTCCTGGTGCTCAGCAGCCACACAGGGCCCCTGGTTTCCACGGTGGACAGGGCAGATAACCCAATTTTCACAGGGGGCTCTACTAGCTACAGCCGTACACAGTGACAACAGCAATTGCAAAGGCCCTGGGGTCAGCAGTGGGCTGTATTTGAAGAGGGGAAGAGGACAAGAGTGGATAGGGTAAAGTGGGGCATGGAGAGGGCTTTAGAAAGAGGGCGAGGTAGCTGATGTCTCCACGCGAGTGTGGCTCAACCGCTGGGGTCCCCCAGGTCCTCTGTGGGTCTGGTTAAATGGCAGGCTCTGATTTGAAGCAACGGCCTGACCACCACGGCCTCAATTTGGGATCTGGCCAAGCTCTGCCCAGTGAGAATCTCACATCCCATTTCAACTTCCCCAGCTCCCACCTCCTCTCCTCCTGGGGCTGAGGGGAGGAGAGAGACTTCAGCTGAACCCCAACAAATCATACTACCCTGGGCAGAGCTAGACTTCTCCTGTCTTGCAGCCAGCTCTCCCTTGGGACAGGGTATTCATGTCCAGATTAAAGAGCTCCAGAAAGTTGAACCACAGAATAATAAATAATCCAGTTAATAAGAGAGCAAATCAACTGGAGGGTTTGTAGAAGAAGGGATACAAATGGCTAGAGCTGGTAGAGGAAGAGAAAGTCCGCAGCATGAGCCATAAGGGAAATGAAAATCAAAACCACACTAAAGCTCACTGCTGGTGGCTCACGCCTATAATCCCAGCTACTCAGGAGGCTGAGATCTGAGGATCAGAGTGCAAAGCCAGCCTCGGCAGGAAAAGTCCATGAGGCTCATATCTTCCATGAACAACCAAACAAGTGTGGAGTTGTGGTTCAAGTGATAGAGCACCAGCCTTGAGCAAAAAAGCTTAGGGGGCTGGAAATGTGGCTTAGTGGTACAGTGCTTGCCTAGCATGTATGAAGCCCTGGGTCCGATTCCACATACACAGAAAAAGTCAGAAGTGATGCTGTGGCTCAAGAGGTAGCCTGGAGCCAAAGCAGCTCAGGGACAGCACCCAGGTCCTGAGTTCAAGCCCCAGGACTGGCACACACGTACATACATCCCTGACCGGCTTTAAACATGAATCCTCAGATCTCACTCAGCCTCCTGAGAAGCTGGGATTGCGGCCGTGGGCCGCACAGGTGGCTGGTGATGGTTGGCAGCAAACCGTTCAGGTCTGCTCTTTTTTTTTTTGCTCATCTTCTGACTTGTGCCCATGCAGCCAGCCTCCTCCACGGGCTCGGGCCCCTCCCTGAGGTCCTCTCAGGGACGCACGTGGGAATCCCGACCGCTCACCTGGGGTACCGGCTCCTCCATCCCCTGGGTGCTGGCGTCCGCCTGCAGGGCTGGCTCCTCCTCCGTCACGTGGGTGTGGGTGTGGGCGTGCATCTGTGGTACCAGCTCCTGCTCTGGTAAGTGGGCGTGGGCATGGACGTGGGCGTGGATGTGGGGGTAGGGGTGGGCGTGGATGTGGGGGTGGGCGTGGATGTGGGGGTGGGCGTGGGGGTGGACGTGGGCGTCCACCTGTGGCATCAGCTCATCCTCTGTCTCGTGGGTGTGGACGTGGATGTGGGTGTCCGCCTCAGCCCACGCTGTCTCAGTCTTGGGTGACTCGGCCCTAGACATGATGTCCGCGGCAGGCACTGTGGATGGAGAGCAGTGGGAGGCCAGCCTGACCCGACACCGCCCTCAGGGCTGAGTCTAGGCCCGCGCTGGGGCTCGAACCTGCTCTCTGCCCAGCTCCGCCCAGCAAAGGGTCACTGGTGGCCAGGCCAAGCACCCTGGAGGACAGGTTGAGGTCACTGCCTGGGAACTATATTTCCTCTCTCTCTCTCTCTCTCGTGCCTATCCCGGGGTTTGAACTCAAGGCCAGGGCGCTGTCCCTGAGCTTTTACACTCAAGGATAGCACTCTCCCATTTGAGCTACAGCTCCACTTCTGGCTTTTTTTAGGGGGGCAGAGGGGGATGTTATTCATTGTTGATAAGAGTCTCATGGACATTCCTGCCCAGGCTGGCTTTGAACTGCGATCCCTAGGTCTCAGTTTGCAGGGTGGCTAGGATCGACAGGAGTGAGCCACCTGGCCCGGCTTTCAGTACTCTTTCCTTTCACCTAGAAACCTCAGATCTAGAAGAGCCCAGAGCCGCCGTGGTGGGGGAGGGGGCGGGGGAGGGGGAGGGAGGGCAGAGGCGTGTCCTTCTGTCATGGGCAGCTGGGAGCCCAGCAGAAGGTCACGGAGGGGAAGCAGCGCAGGTCCCTTGGGCAGCGGCTGAAGAATTCCTCCACTACCCAATTGACAGGGGCCAAGATGTAGTCCAGAGACCAAAGAAGAAGACAAAAAGAAAAGTCCTCTTCAGAGAGCAGAAGTTACAGACAGAGAAACTTAATGGCCACTGCCTTCCAGGGAGAAGGGGCAGCGAGCCGGTGAAGCTGAGGGAGGAGACTTTTGTTGTTGTTGTTGTTGGTCATAAGTATTGAACTCTAGGCCTGGAAGCTGTCCCTGAGCATTTCAGTTCAAGGTGAGCACTCTACCACTTGAGCCACAGTGCCACTTCCAGTTTCCTGGTGGTTTATTGGAGATAAAACTGTCATGGACTTTCCTGCCTGGGCTGGCTTTGAAGTGTGATCCTCAGCTCTCAGCCTCCTGAGTAGCTAGGATGACAGGTGTGAGCCACAGGTGACTGGCTCAGGGGAGACTTTTGACTTTGGAGACTGATAATATTACCTGTTCAAAAAAACAAAAAAATGGGCTGGGAAGGTGGCTCAGTGGTAGAGCGCTTGCCTTGCATGCATGAGGCCCTGGGTTCGATTCCTCAGCACCACATAAGAAAAAAGAAAAAAGCTGGAAGTGGCGCTGTGGCTCAAGTGGTAGAGCGCTAGCCTTGAGCTGAAGAGCTGAGGGACAGTGCCCAGGCCCAGAGTTCAGGCCCCACGACAGGACCCAAAAAAAAAAAAAACAAAAAAATAAGCCCGGTGCTGGTGGCTCACGCCTGTCATCCTAGCTACTCAGAAGGCTGAGATCTGAGGATCAAGGTTCAAAGCCAGCCCAGGCAGGAAAGTCCATAAGCCTTAATCACACAAAAGGCTCAAGGTTAATGCTCAGGCCCTGAGTTCAAACCCCAGAACCAGAGAAGTAGTAATAACAACAACAACAATAATAATAATAAAAAGCCTAAGTTTCAGGTGCTATAGCTCATACCTATGATTCCAGCTACTGGGTGGGGGCGGGAAGAGGAGGCAGAAAGGATTTCGGTTTGAGGTCAGCCCAGACAAAAAGTTAGTGAGGTCAGGCACCAGTGGCTCACACCTGTCATCCTAGCTACTCAGGAGGCTGAGATCTGAGGATCGCAGTTCAGAGCCAGCCAGGGCAGGAAAGTCCATGAGACTTATCTCCAATGAACCACCAGAAGTGGCGCTGTGGCTCAGGTGGTAGAGCACTTGACTTGACTTGAGCTGAAGAGCACAGGGCCAGCACCCAGGCCCAGAGTTCAAAGAAAGGAAGAAAGCAAACAAGCTAGCTCAGGACTGGAGTGTGGCTCAATGTGAGTGAATTCAAGCATGGGCCTAGGTCCCAGGCCCAGCAGTTGGGGGGGGGGGAAGGGGTGATATCTGCCCAGCATCTGCCCTCCCCTCCCCTCCCCCGCTGGCTCACCTGAGAAAAATGGGCTAAAGGTGGCTCTGGCCTCTGCCTGGAGGCTGGCCGCCCAGGGAATTGTAATGTGGCTGAGCAGATCACAGGGGCCTTCAGGGAGTGGATGTGGGGCTCAGGAATCAGGGTGGGGTTCTCAGCCTGGCTTTGCAAGTCTGTGAGGTTAAGGGCTGGTGAGGGGGGAAGGTCTTGACCACATCCCCGAGATGAGGGGAGTCAATATACATTAGCTGAGTTAGGAGGAATGAAAGGCTTGGTGGCTCATGCCTGCAATCCCAGCTAGGTGGGAGACAGATATAGAGGATCACAGTTTGTGGCCAGGAACCCCCCCCCCAAAAAAAAGTCAACAAGACTCCATTCAACACATAGGTTGAGCCGGGCACTGGTAGCTCACGCCTGCCTATCATCCTAGCTACTCAGGAGGCTAAGATCTGAGGATCGAGGTTCAAAGCCAGCCCGGGCAGGAAAGTCCATGAAACTCTTATTTCCAATAAACCACCAGAAAACCAGAAGTGGTGCTGTGACTCAAGTGGTAGAGCGCTCGCCTTGAGCTGAAGAGCTGAGGGACAGCGCCCAGGCCCAGAGTTCAAGCCCCACAACCGACATAAAAACAAAAACAAACAACAAACACATAGACTGGGCATGGTGGTACATTTCTGTAATTCCAGCTAAGCAGCAGGAGGCATAGGCAGGAAGACAAACAGGCCAAGGTTGGCCCCAAGGCAGAACTTTGAAATATAACCTAAAGCAGGAAGAACTGGGGGCGAGACTTGAATGGTAGAGCACCTGCCCCAGCAAGGGCAAGGCCCTGAGTTCAAGTTCAAACCCCAATACTGCAAATAACTAAACAAATGGAGGGAGCTCACCCCACCACTCTGGCAGGAATCTGCAGAGAGGTTTCCTGCTTTTTACCAAAAGCCAACAAGGCTCACACTTGTAATCCTAGCTACTCAGGAGGCTGAGATCTGAGGAGTGCAGTTCACAGCCAGCCTGGGCAGGAAAGACCGTGAGACTCTTCTCTCCAATAAACCACCCGAAAATTGGAAATGGCCCTGTGGCTCAAGTGGTAGAGCGCTAGCCTTGAGGTGAAGAGCTGAGGGACAGCGCCCAAGCCCAGAGTTCAAGACCCACAACCAACCATAAACAAAAACCGTCAACAAGTGGAAAGTAACACCATTGAGAACAATCTGGTCACCTTCTCTGTGCTGACCCCTGACTGGATGTGGGCAGAGGACAGTGGACAATGCAGCCCCAGATTCAGCTTATGGACAGGGTTGGCTCTCCTGATGCCCACCAGCTACAGAGGAGCTATCTACACAGGAGGCTGAGATCTGAGGATCCCGGTTCAAAGCCAGCCAAGGTAGGAAAGTCCGTAAGACTCTGATCTCCAATAAACTACAAAAGAGCCGGAAGTGGAGCAGTGGTTCAAGTGGTGGAGTGCTAGCCTTGAAGGACCAGCGCATGCTTGTGCACACGCGTGCACACACACGTGCACACACACACACACAGATTGGACTTTGGGAGCTGGGCCTAGTGGCCACACCTGTGACTCCAGCACAGGGAGGCTCCAGAGGATCCGGAGTTTGGGGCTTGCTTGGCCCACACAGCCAGACTCTGACTCAGGTATAAAGACAAAGAGACTGGGAGCTCAGTCGCTGGTGACTCAGGCCTGGAAACCCAGCTAATCAGGAAGCTGAGATCTGAAGGTCACAGTTCAAGGCCAGTTGGGCAGGAAAGTCCAGGAGACTCTTATCTCTACTAAAACTACCCAAAAAAGCTGGAAGTGGGGCTGTGTCTCTAGTGAGTAGAGCTCTAGCCTTGGACAAAAGCAGCTCTGGGACAGGGCCCAGGCCCTGAGTTCAAAACCCAGGACATATACACATGTGTGTATACGTGCGTGCGTGCACACACACACACACACACACACACAGGAAAGAAGAGGCTGGGCCTGGGCAAACGCAGCCCAGGGAGGGCCCAGGCCCAGGGCGGAGGGGGGGGGGCTTGCGCAATCCCGGGCGCACCCTCGCAGCAGGGGCCCCCATTCCCCGGGTCACAGGATGAGGGGCCCCCCAGGTGTCTGGGGGGGGCGCTTGGGAACTTGGCTTCCCAGACTCCAAAAGGGTGTCTGGTGGGGATCGGTGCGTGGGGGGGGGTGTGCAGACACCCCGGGGGGCCCCTCGCTCGGCCCTCCCCGCCCCCCTACCCCAAATCCCAAGAATGTCCCAGACAGAAAGTCTGAAAGACTGTGTCTGTTGCCCGAGAAGTCGATGCCAGGGGACCGAGACCCCTCAGTCCGCTGCACCCCGCGTCCGACCCCCCCACACCCCCGCCCC